AAGGAGGTCGTCAAACCGCGCGGGTGTCGGGGCGGCGGGCCGGGGCCTGCCCGCTCGCACGGCGCTCCGTCAGGCGCGGGTCCGGGGTGCTGCAGCCCCGGGGTGAATTCGGGGCAGCCCCGAAAGGATCCCAGCGGTGTGGCAGGGCCATAGGGGCCAGTGGTACTCTCACGGAGCTCCGTGCTTCTCCCAGGGAGTGGTTTCGGTAGTGGAACCCGCACCGGTGATCCTGCCAAAATCTGAGCCTTTAAAAAAGGGGGAGGAGCGAGCATCCCTAAGGCTTTAACTGGGATTGTGTGGCCCAGCCTGTCACCTCCGTAATAAACGGGCAGGTTATGATAAGTGTGGTTTAAACTATATTTCTGAATTGTCCAAGTGTCCGTGCTCTACATTCCCAAGCAGAGCCTGAACAGAGTCCCGCCCCACCACTGTGTGACAGATCTGAGACTAACCACGTGTCCACAAAGGGTTTTAATCACCACAGTTAGAATTCCTTAGTTTCACTGCCAAACTTCTAATTTTACTGTGTGTGGGCGCAGCGTTTCCTGGTTCTTGAACTTTCTCTCTGTGTTGATGCTCTGTGAGATGTGTTCTGACTGGTCTCTGCCTGGGATGTTTCCTCCCAGAAGCTGATGAAAAATTGATTTTTCCCACCACGGCCCCAGGTTTTATCTCTGTCAGTTCTTGGGTTGAGCTCCAGCTTTCTCTTACTCTGATTTTGCTTAATAGATACCGAGTATTTCTACTTCAGAGACAATTTATACCAGCAAGGTGTGAGTACAAACCAGATGGAAGGTGGATCTTTGTTCTCTTGTAGTTGAGAGAACTTTCTATCACAGAGTTTTGGGGATGCAGAAAGCTCAAGGGGAGACTGGTTGGCTTTATGGAACTTCTCCCATTAGGGGTGAGCCAGGGAAATGTTCTCTGTGAGAAGGTCTCCAGCACAGTAAGGACATGGTCCTGCTGGAGCAAGTCCAGATGAGGCCACCAAGATCATTGTAGGGATGGAGATACGAGGAAAGGCTGAGAAAATCTGGATTGTTCAGCCTGGAAAAGAGAAGGCTCTGGGACGACCTAATTGTGGCATTCCAGTATCTGGAGGGGGCTACAGGAAAGATGAGGATTTATAAGGGCCTGGAGGGACAGGAAAGGAGGAATGGCCTCATAATAACAAAAGAGTATTGGATAGTTAGATTGGATATTAGGAAAGAATTCTTCCCTGTGAGGGTGGGGATGCCCTGGCGTAGAATTCCCAGAGAAGCTGTGGCTGTCCCTGGATCCCTGGAAGTGTCCAAGGCCAGGTTGGACAGAGCTTGGAGCAACCTGGGATAGTGGGAGGTATCCCTGTCCATGGCTGAGGTTTGGAATGAGAGGAACTTTGAAGTCCCTTCCAATCCAAGCCACTCTGGGATTCTGTGAGAGTAAATCCAGAGCCAAACAGGCTCAGGATGTGAGAGCATTCAGGAGCAATGTGCATAGTTGTGGTGGTTTCTGACTGTCATTTGGCCACCTGGGAGGTGACTGAAAGGGACATTTAGTTGGGGCTGGTACTGGAATTTCTGCTTAGACTGTAAGTTGTTGGGTGTATGTGTGTGTAGAAGGTTAGATCGCAGAATCCCAGAATGGTTTGGGTTGGAAGAAACCTCAAAGGCCATCTCTTTCCAACCCTTTCCATGGACAGGGACATCCTTCACTAGACCAGTTGGCTCAGAGTCCGTTTGGGGTTTGTATTTTTTTGTTTGTTTGTTTTTTTAGGGAATGCTAAGTGATACAACTGTAGAAGGAGTGTTTTTCTGGAATAGGGAGGACACCAGAACTAGGGGTTTTCAGTGCCTGAGCACCATTATCAAAACACAGAGGGTTTTACAAGCCCCATTCCTTCCCATGCTTATACCTTTTTTTTTTATTCCATATGGAGGGGAATGGTTTTGGAGGCGAGTTTCTGGGCTCTGGTCCCCCATTTGGAACTTCTGATCCCTCTGTCACTTCTACTAACATTGCATTGCTAAAACTTCCCAGCTTTTTCATTCTCAAAGGAAAAAGGCAGAGACCTGGGGGTAATGTAAATCTCTCTGAATGGAGGCACTATTCCTCGTTTTATGGAGACTTTTGTTAAGGGTGAGAGAACCTCTGTTTTTCTCTCTAATCTGCAAGGATTGAACATTGAAACAATACTCTGCTTGAAACAATACTCTGCTTGAAACAATACTCTGCTTCAGAAGGACGTTGAATTCATTCAGTTAATTGTGGGGGAGGAAGAGTTTGAAAGCAGTTCATGGGAATGGATCTGCTTTCTTTATAAGAATTTGGGGGCTTACCATCCTCATTCAAAGTAGTCATTTTTCATGCCATGTTCATAGCTCACAACATATAGAATATGTTTAATTATGCAAAGTAAACTTAAGGACAGGTTTTTAAATACTTCTGTTGTAGGTACTTAGTTGTAACTTTAATGTCTTCAAAAAAATACTTGTGAGCAGACCTGAAAGTTGGGTAGTGCTTGAGGACCAGCAAGGAACAAGCTCGGTATTTGTTTTATTAAAAAAGCCAAACATGTGGTGGATAGAAAATTAACACCTGTGTTATTAAAGAAAATTAAAACTTCTGGTAATACTATTATTTCCTGAGGTTACATGGGGAAGCAGGCTATAATGAAGTGTAGGAAAGGTCGAATGTTCTCTTATTAGGCTTTGACAACGATGCTTTTTGTTTTTCAGGGCAAATGACCCAGCTTTGTGAACTGATCAATAAAAGTGGAGAGCTGCTAGCAAAAAATCTTTCCCATCTGGATACAGTGCTTGGTGCCCTGGATGTACAGGAACACTCACTAGGTGTTCTTGCTGTCTTGTAAGTGTTGCTTGCTTTTAATTAAATCTTAAAACTTCAGGCAATGAGCTGAACTATCAGCCAAGCAAAATGTTTTGTTCTGGCACTGACAAGTTGCCCAGAGAAGCAGTGGCTGCCCCTGGATCCCTAGAAGTGTCCAAGGCCAGGCTGGACAGGGCTTGGAGCAGCCTGGGACAGTGGAAAGTGTCCCTGCCCATGGCAGGGATTGGAACTGGATTGGCTTTAAGCTCCCTTCCAACCCAAACCATTCTGGGATTCTGTGATAGGCGTTTTTCCATGTGTGTTCAGCAAAAAGATAGAGAATGAGCTTTAAAAACTTTATTTTCAGGGCATTAATACATTGAACTGTAAGCATGGAGCAAGACGTTTTTTCCAGTAAAAAACAGGCTTTTATCGTGGGTCTTGTGTGTTTGTCTTTAGACAGTACTGAGGCTTTTGCTGCTGTCTGGAGTTTAAGATAAAGCTTGAGTTGCCTTGGGGGTGCTGGCCTAAAGTAGATATTTAGTCTTGAAGTTCAAGCTGGCTATATCTGACTTAAAGTGAACTATCTGCAGGTTCCACTGCTATTTTAAAATTATCTTTTAAGGGAAAGATCAGAATTCTAGTAATTCTACTACTCTTTTGGAACAAAATACTGATAATACTGAAAGTGCTCTTTGCCATTGTAGTTTGCACTAAATTGAGAATTATGTTGTTCACAGAAAGGTGTTTTCAGGTGTTGTTGTGCAGCTACGGGGGAAATCCTGTGCCATGTCTCATAAGCACTTTGGATTTGTTTGCAAGCACCTACATGCAGAGACTTAGTAATGAAAATGAATCTTTTGTATGAATCTCCAAGTAATAAATGCTAAACCTTTTGTTTCTTTATTTCAGGTTTGTGAAGTTTTCTATGCCCAGCATCCCTGACTTCGAAACGTTATTCTCACAGGTGCAGCTTTTTATCAGCACTTGCAATGGAGAACACATTAGATATGCAACAGACACTTGTAAGTTAAGCCTAATTGCAGACTTGATTTATTTTTGGATAGTTTGGTAATACTGATTTTTCACTGAGGTGTTTTTTTTTTGTTTGTTTTTCACTGTGTTTAGTTGCTGGCCTGTGCCACCAGTTAACAAATGCCCTTGTGGAGAGAAAACAGGTGAGCAAGTATCATCTAGTACAAATAAGCTACTCCATACCCAAGGCTTAAAGGGGGTGTTACCAGCCTCTTACTCCATATTTGCCACTAACTTCACACCAAGTGTTTCTGTGCAGCTCTTTTGTTTAAAGTTTACTGAAAGGTAATGAACCAAACTCAGAATTCTGAGATTTCTCTAAGGAAAACCTAAGGAAGATAATTTTGGGGGGAGAAAAGTCACCAAAAAACATGTTCTCCCACATGAAATTAAGTTTTCTGGTACCAAGAATGTTCTTCAGACGATGTGTGCATGAGTAGAGGAGAGAGCTGCAGGGGTTATTAACACTGGTTAGTCAGTGATTTTAGTTTCAGTGTTATTCTCACTGGTGTTATATAATGTTCTTAGTGAAATGCTTTAAAATGTGCAGAAAACTTGATTAAGAAATATTTGACCAGTGGTTTTGTTGCTAAAATCCTGACTTTTCCAGGCCAGTTTGGTGAAGTCTAGCCTGAGGCTGACCAGATCTGATCTCTACTTCTAAGTGGACTGAAGTGAGAACCTTGTCTTTAGTATTTGTTGGGAGTTTAGATGCAGTCAAGGAAGGTTTTCTTACTGATACAGATTACTCTATTCCTGGTGAGATCAGCTTTGTGGAGCAGAATTGATGACTTTATCAGGAGAAGTTGTATAGCCAAGGTTAACTTTATTTTCCAAGACACTGCAATATCCTACAAAAGGGAACCTCAAGTTAACTATTACTTAATGGAACCTGTCAATTAGTGTTATTTTTCATTTGTAAGTGTCAACATAAGATCCAATGTGCTGCCATCTATGAGAAATTATCTGAAAGAGATGTAATTTCTGACAGCCCCTGCGAGGAATTAGCATTCTCAGACAAGCCATAGACAAGATGCAGATGAACACAAACCAGCTGACCTCAATACATGCAGATCTCTGCCAGGTAAGAGGATCAGAAGGGCTTTTTGTGAGGAAAAAAAACTTATAAAATGCCTATATACCTTCAAGGAAATGCATGTTCACATATTGTAGTGTGAGAATGGATTTTCAACTGGATTTTTGTTTGGCTTGTTTTTTTTCTAGTAGTAAATAATACGATACACTGAAATGAAATCTAAATGTGATATACAGATTAATTACTAATTTTAAGTGTTCAGTGCATGTCCTCAGATCTTTGATTTTGTTGATGACTTCAGAAATTCCTTTGACATCCCTTCTGAACTTATCTTAGATAGTATCAATGTAATATCCAGCTACTGTCTGCTCAATTCTGACAAAAGACATGTTTGTCTCGGTGTCTTTGGCCTGGATTTGTATTTCTGTCTCATTCTTGGCTCCTGGGATTAAGGGTCAGGCAGGAATGTTTAGAGCAGTATTTAGTGCTGCCAGCACAGTAGTCTGGCAGTCCTGGAGCTCTGTCAGAGTTTATTTTCTTTAGAAATCAGATAATTTTATAACAGTTCATAGTCTGTGTTAAAGATTTTCCACTTGTGTTACTCCACTACTGACATGCTCTGTTTTTTAACTCAGGGGAAAGTGATATTTATGCAGTAGTACTAATTAATTTAGTTTCAATTCCTTCTCATGGAAACTTGAATGGAAATTGCTAATTTATGAAAACTTGATTTATTTTCTTGTAGCTCTGTTTGTTAGCAAAATGCTTTAAACCTGCCCTCCCGTATCTAGATGTGGACATGATGGATATTTGTAAAGAGAATGGGGCATATGATGCGAAGCACTTTTTATGTTACTACTACTATGGTGGGATGATATACACTGGGCTAAAGAACTTTGAAAGAGCACTCTACTTCTATGAACAGGTAATTTGAAATGAAATTATGAAGTGTGACCTCTGGAAAGGCAAAAATAGATGTGTACCAGTGCTGAGAAAACACTGCACCTTTGAACTGGCAGAAGCAAACTGACTTTGGAGGTGTTTTCCTTTAAGAAAGTCTCTCACAGCCTTATTGCACCAGAAAGCTGTGCAGTTCAAAGGGTGATGTTAAATTTATCTCACTATAAATATTTTTCAGCTGCCTGCTTAAAACTGCAGCACAGAAACAGGTCGCAGGCTGACACACGGTTGTGTGTCCTTAAAAAATAATCCAGTGGTTTTGCTAAGGCCTTTGCTACTTAAATGAGAGGAGTTTTGCTTCTTCAAGGCTGTTATAATATTTGATGGTTTTGCTTTATCTGGGGAGGAAATAAAAATAGTAAAATTGGGAAAACTTTGTGTGTGAGGGAAATGCTGTGAAATGTGCAAAACAAATTGGTGTAACATTTTTCTTTTTGGTAAACTAGGGTCAGCTCATTAATAGTTCCAGTATCATAGTGAACTAAAATCCCTTTTCCATATTCTGCAGACCTCTGATAATATAATAGCTTTATAAAACCTCTTGGAGGATCTATGTAAATCTGGGTTCACAAGTAGATACAGGTGATTTCTGGTACAACTTTAGATATATTCCAAAGAAGGAAGTTTTCATTTTATCTGAGCAGGTCTATTTTAAGACAGGCACCACTCTAATGTGATATGTTTTGAGTAGCTTGTATAAAGTCTCCCTTTTTTTGCATATGTCTGGATAATTAATTTTGACAGAAGTTAGTTAGGCTTCAGCGCTCAAAGGAGAATTTCATATGTCACTGTATTCTTTCTCCATGCAGCTTGAAATTGAGTTTCTTGCTCATGCAGTAGCTACCAGGATCTACCAGTAAGCAGACTAAATTTCTGTTCCATTTCTTTCTCTCTTGTTTAGGCAATAACTACTCCAGCAATGGCAGTCAGTCATATTATGTTGGAATCATATAAAAAGTATATCCTAGTTTCTTTGATACTACTTGGTAAAGTTCAGCAGCTACCAAAATACACTTCTCAGATAGTTGGTAGATTCATTAAGGTAAGTATTGCAAATGCATCTAAATAATAGATCAACAAATCTGAATTTGTAAAAGTGTAACAGTGGAAGGTGTCCCTGTCCATGGCAGGGATTTGGAGTGAGGTGAACTTGAAGGTCCCTTCCAACCCAAACCATTCTATGATTGTACGATGTCAGTGATACAGGTTTTTAAAATTTGGGAAAACTTTGGTGTTGAATAGTGCTAATCAATATTCCTTTGGCTGATACTGCACATTCCTTTATAGCTTTTTATGTTAGAATTTAAAAAATACTCAGATTTCAATTGGCTTTCCAGATGCAGTGCCGTTATGAGAAGATTTGACCTGTTAACCTCATCTGATTGAAGCACAAAATGTTAAACAGTTTATTGCAAAACCCAAAGTTTTTAAAGAATAAAAGCTTCTGAAAAAACTGAGTTTTTGGTCTGTAAGCATTCAGATTATGAGGTGTAGGGTGGGAGACAAAACTGAAACTGAGAGAGTTCTGATCCTAAGTAACACATTTCTAAAAGTTAATTCTTTTTAACACTGAGCTTATTGATTTGTGACCAAAATTCTAGAGAGTTCCAAAATTATTCTAACTTCAGAATCTAACAAACAAGCTGAAAACTTTAAGGTAGTTTAGGTGAACTTGTTTCACCCTCTGCTGTCGATGCTGTGACATCCTTGATGTGGTCAAGGATGGATGTCTTAGGGGACAGAACAAATATAATGGATGGGAAGTTACTGGCAATACTTATTCAAACTCAGCTGGTCAGTTGAGAGAGTTTTTTCACACTGCTGTAAGTAAAACTGTCACACAGATGTCCTGGAATGATGTTTATGAAGTAAATATTATGCAGTAATACAGATCTAGTGTATGAGAGTCTGTCATTGCCATAAAGGCATGTATGGGCCCCCTGTCTTTTTTAAGAGAAATTCCCAAGCTACTTAAATTTATTTCAATGCCTGCATAACTTCTAATGTTGGAGCACTGAATAGGTTTTGTGAGGCTGGATGAACACTGTGTTCTTTAAGAAGGGTTCTCATTTTTCTAATTGCAGCCTCTTAGCAATGCTTACCATGAATTAGCGCAAGTTTATTCAACCAATAAACCCTCGGAGCTTCGAAATCTGGTGAACAAACACAGTGAAACTTTCACAAGAGATAACAATATGGGGCTGGTTAAGCAATGCTTGTCATCCCTCTACAAAAAGAATATTCAGAGGCTAACCAAGGTAAGAAAAACTGAGCAGTTTTCCTCTAAGAGTGTATTTCTGAAATATATTCAGTTTAGAGCTAAATGATAACAGTAACGTGGCAGAGAAATTACTGGAACTGAGATTTGTGTCTGAAACAAAGGAGACTAGAACACCCTGTATAGGGAAACAAAATCAGTTGGCTGCTTATGCATTATTTAAAAGGTGATTCAATCTGTCAGGGGGGTTTGCCCATGAGGTTTTTGTAGCTAATCAAAAAAGTGAGCACTGCAAACCAGTGACCTTCATCCCTATCAAAAAAATAGGAAAACTGAACTTTACAGACCACTTCCATAGAGAAGAGTGAGTGAATAGGACAGATTTTGGAAGTATCTGAAATAAAAGGAGAAACAGAAGCACTGAAGTGATTTGCTCCTTCAGCTGAGAGATCAGATCAGTCCTGAAAAGTGACTGGGGAAAGCTGCTGTTTTGGCAAGCTCAAATGATATTTGTCCTAGGAAAAAAATCTTAGAAGGAGCTTTATATTTTCATCTCTTGAAGGAAATTTGAGGGGTGGAGAGTCACCTTTTTTGTATAAAAAGGTGAGAGAATGTTGGACGTGGTCAGGAGTGTCTGGTGTAAAATTGCAGGAATGAGTAATGACTCCATACGTGCTCAGTGTAACAAATTAATGTCTGGAGGAAGAACTGACTCACTTTCATGAGCCCTTTAATAATTATGTGTTCTACTTGTTCCTTCCCATCAGACTTCCACAGTCAGGTTACATAGGCCATGAAGCATCAAGGGGAAAATCCTTAACATCTAGTTTTAACACTTTAAAACTTTATAAATTTCAGACATTTTTAACATTGTCATTACAAGACATGGCAAGTCGAGTGCAGCTGTCGGGGCCCCAAGAAGCAGAAAAATACGTCCTCCACATGGTAAGACCTCTGACTTGGTTAAACTATCCCAAAATTAATGTTTGGGTTGGCAGTACACATCCTGAGCAGTTATTTTTCAGGGTGGAGGAAATGCTGGAAGTCTGCTGTGCTGTTGACACTTTTCAAAAAAATCTAAAAAGCTGTTCTCCATGTAAGATAAGGCTTGAGTTGTGTTTTTGGGAACCTGTGGGAAATAAAAGCAACCAAGTTAAAGACAATTCCACAAAGAGTCTGTGCGTTGTAGTTGCCTGAAATTCTGTTCTTGGTTATAACTTCTATTAAACCCTCTGTCATTTCAGATAGAAGATGGTGAAATCTTTGCAAGTATTAATCAGAAAGATGGTATGGTCTGTTTCCATGATAATCCTGAAAAATATAACAATCCAGCTATGCTTCATAACATTGATCAGGAGGTAAATCTTTTCCTGCTTTTGGAATTCTTACCAAAGAACCTTAGTCTGTAATCAGAGAGCTGCTGGCAGAAGCCAGTGTAGTAACTCAGATATAGAGAGTGAGGACTGTAAATCATTATTTGACTATACCACAGTATTTTCATGGGCTTTGGATTAATACTGTCTGTCAGTGTGTTCCCTACACATCTTGAGCTGTTTCAGGAGACTGACTGCTATTGGTGATGGGAAGGTCCTTGAATAAATTAGAAGGATTGTTTTTAGAGTTTTAAACTTCAGGGATTGCTTCAATTGGCTCTCAATAACCTGCCTGTAGGTTAAGGTGGTTGAGCCTCATGAGACTGTCTATCAGTGGCCTTAAAAAGGGCTGTTAGGAAGACAGGGATCAAATGAAGGGAATAAAAAATGGTCTGACACTTTTGTTTGGGAGGTGAAGGATGAGAACATTTTGATATGGAACTGTAGTGGTGGCAAAAGTTATTTGTTCTACATGGCACAACCATGAAACGTCGTGAAGATCAGGTACAGGCTGGACAAAGTAATCAATTTCATACATATTTTTAAGATGCTGAAATGTATAGAGCTCGATGAACGACTGAAAGCCATGGATCAAGAGATCACTGTGAACCCTCAGTTTGTGCAGAAGGTAATGGATTTAATGTCTTGTAAGAGTATGTAAGACTCAGTGTGGTGAGTATGTCGTACTGAATGTCAGTATTTACAGTGTTGTTTTTACACATTATTAATAATATGTGCATAAACATCATGACTCATCATAAAGATAATTTATTCTTTTTGAAAGTGCTTTTTCCTCATTGATCCTGCAGTGATTTCAACCAGAAAATTAAGTGCATGTTATTTCATAGGCACTTTATTTTCCTGCCTGTTCACTTCAAAGAACTGTCTTTTTTAAGCCTGCAGACCTGTTTCTGAACAGAACTAACTCTCTCCCTTTCAGAGTATGGGCTCTCAAGAAGATGACTCAGGGACCAAACCATCCAGTTATTCTTGAAATTAATGTTGCTCACCACTCCGCTTTCAAGTAAAAGCTTATGAAAGAATCACGCCTGGAACAGGGCATTGAGGAGTTCCACGAAGAGAGCAGAGAGAACTGAGCTTTGCTTTTCACCTGGACATTAAGAAAATAAAAGAACACCCTCTCAGTACTGTATAATATCAGAAATATTCTCTGCAAAGAAAAAGGAAATCTCAAAAGAAACTTGAAAGTCTGTTGTGGATTTATTTATCTTCAGATTAACATTGTTAATGCATTAAATAATCTACCTTTTGTTTTAAAGGGTTTGAATGTTGCCGTGTTTCTGTAGCAGTCCTCTTCTGCAAAACAAGAAGTGTTATTCAGGGAAGAATACAAACTAGTGTTGGTTCACTTATAAGATAATTATTGGTTCATTATTCTGTATTTAAAGGTGGCTCAAAGAGCAGATTTATCATATGTGTGGTGGGGGCAGAAGGGTGGAGTGGAAGCAAATCATAATGTAGAGAATTTGCATATGCCCCATGTAGTTGGTGCTGTCTGTTAAATGAGGAAATAAGAACTGTTCTTCCCAAAAGGATGAGGATATCACATGTCCTTGTAAGGAAGTTTGCTGCACAGTAGGAATCCTATATGGAAAACATACATGACAGCTGTTTATGATTTTAAGTTTCTGGTACAAAATATCTGCTAATATTATTTGCTCTTAGATGAAATTTATTAGACCTAAACAAAAGGATATTTGGGAAATGTTGGTGTTCTGGAGGATTCTAGACAGGAAGTTGTTTACACTGAAAGAAATTTGTTTGTTCCTCTGCAAATGGCATGAAGGTATTCAACAGGCTGATAGTTTCCTTGGTGGAAACCAGCATTTCTGCATGGAACATAAATAGAATTCTATACAGCTCTCAAAATGCAGGATCTTATTCAGCTATAACGTGTTGGAATGGTACCTGGTTTTTAATTTACTATTTTAAACTTTAAAACTTTGTTATTGGATTTTTTAAAAGTGCTTCACCCCTTAAATCAATAGGCTGTTTAATTTTCTGTCATTCTCTTGTATCTGAAGATTCTCACTGTTCAAACACCTTCCTGTCAGGCAGAAATAAACCTGTCATCAAGTCAGAAAACGAGAAGCTCTGCTTCCTACTCAAACACCTGACCAGGAGCTGCTTGCTCCTGCTACCCTACCAGCTTGTTTCCAAGTGGTAGCTGAGCATTCCTGGCTGTTGCTGTGTGAAGTTTGTATGTATTGAGGTCACCTGTGGTTGAAAATATTCAATTTGTGCTTCCAGTGCTGATACAGAAATGGGGTTTTCATTTAAAAGCAGTGTCACAAGTCTAGCAGAGCCTCTGTGACAGCAAGGTGCTGCTTTCTGGTGAAGAGAGGTGTCCCAGGTTGTGGTTGGTGATGAAGGATGTTTTTAAAAGTATAAAAAAGCAGTTTAGTATTGAACACAGTGGAGGTCCATAGTGTGAGCAGCTCATCACTTCCTGCCAGAGAGAATTCCACCGGGACAACTTTGATCTTTAGGCAAAATCATGGGATTGTTCATAAATCTCCTTAGGAGTCTTGTAACTAGAAGAGATCTATGATTTTGAAGGTTTTTATCCTAATTAATCCTGCTGTGATTTTAATGCTGAACATACATTTTCCCCCCTGGTCCCATGGAAGTGTTAAATGAGTAATTAGCGATGCTGTGCTCGAGCCCAAAAAAGGGTGGTTGTTACTACCACGTGTGGCACTCACAAAAGGGACTGCAAACAACTGACCCCAAACCCCACCCATCCAGAAATGGCTCAACTCTCCTTGCCACTGGCTCCCTTGCCAGGGGAGAATGTATTCAGGATGTTGTCATGGAGTTGGAAAAAATCCAGGAATGTCCATTTTTACATTACTAGTTCCTATTAGTGAGCGTGGATTTACCTGTTGAGAGCTGCAGGGTTTTTAGTTTTCCAGCTGTGGAATTAGAAGGAAACTAATCTATGCAGCTGGTAAATGGCTCTAGATTTTTCTCTTCTTTTTTCTTGACTAAAGTAGATAAATCCTTGCTCACATCAAAAGGATGGCAAAAATAGCTGTGCAATAGTTTCAAGTGATATATTCCATTATGTATCTGATTTGAGAACTGCTGAGATTCCTTTTCTGGGGTGGATAGTTGTGCTGTTAATGTCTGAATTCTGTTATAAATTCAAAGTCAGGTCCCACCTGTAGAATCAGTAGATAAAGCATTCACCAAAAGTGCTCCAGGGAAGAGCTTTTAAGTCCTAGTTTGATAATCACACGTGGTCTGGCATCTGCATGTCTTGAGATAGTGCTGAAATTAAGTCAGATTTTTAATGAAGCAGTTCCTTTTAAGTCTTGGAACTAATTGTCTGGGCTGTGGTCAGCTGCAGGGCTTCGAGAACACTTGGGCTTTCTGGTTTTAATTTGTATTTACTGCAGGGAAGGACTTTTGCTCAAATCTAGGAACACTGCGTGCTGTGCTGCTCCCAAATTGGACTCTCAGAGGTCCCGTGGCTGTTTCTTCCCATCGTATACAGTCACAAGATGTGTCCAGGGAATTCTGAGTGCATGCTTCGATATCTGACTCCAATTTTGATGCATTTTAATAAGCAAAGACACAAAATGCACTTCTGAAGGCAGTGTTAGATGTGCAGCTGCAGATCATAGCCACAGGAGGGGTCTCTAGGCCAGTCACTGAGATTTTGAAATGTTTCTGAGAAGGAATGGTTGGAAGTTGTTTGTGTACAACCCCCATTCCTGTTTTTGTGCCACTGAGGAGCCCCAGTGCATGACCTGTGCTGAGCCATCGCTCCATGGCATAACTCCAGCTGCCTCCTCCTCCACAACTTCCCCGTGTGTCCCACAGCACAGCCACAGCCCCGTGTTTGTGTTGTCGTAGGCGATCTGTATAACCTAGGAAATGTTCTCCGTGTGGCCACGCTGGCCCGGGAGCTTAGTCCTGAGAACTTGTTTAAATGTACTATTGAAAAATAAAGATAACAAACCAGTCGTTCTTAGTTTGTCTTAAATGAGATTGTAGGTCTTTTGTATTTGGGGTTCCCTTAGTTTTTTGGGGGGATCTCTTCTGGTTGCTTCTCAGGAGGTGATTTTGGCTGACTGGGGAGGCTGCTGGTTGCGTGCTGTGTGTGGCAGTGCGCTTTGCTCCAGAGGTGTTCAAGCCCTGCTGGTGGCTTCTCAGAGCTTTCCCGAGCAATTCCAAGTAGAAATAATCTTCCTTGAGTCTCTTTCTTGAGAAGTGCTGCTGCAGGTCCTTGTCTGAGATGGGCTTTGGGATTTTGGATGGAGCACTTTTATTTTGAGCAACCTGGTCTGGTGAAGATGGGTTGGAATGGGATGATCCATAAGGTCCTTCCAACCCAAACCATTCTGGGATTTGTGTCTGAGCTCTGTTTCTGTAATAATCTGTCTTGCTGACCGTCTGGCTATTGTTTTAATCAGAGACATAATTATTAGTCTGTGTGTGGCTGCTTGAATCCAGAGGTGTGTCTTGTAGTGCTATCAGCAATAGCTGCTCTTTCTTGGGATTAAAATACTAATTTTACTCAGTTGAATAACCTATGCTGTTACCTTCTTTAAAATTTAATACTTTTGTTCAGATTCAGGTATTTAAAACTCTGTAAGGGGCAACTCCAAGGGGCAGGGAGGTATCTGGTACTTTATTATTTTGAAGCTTAATAGTTCACATGGAATTTGGTTTAGCTTTCCATCATAGACTCCTAGAGGTAAATAATCCATTACTACTTAAACTTGATATCTTGAGGAGAAACAGGAGTAGTTTAATGGAAACGAAGAGCCTATACAGGTTTAACTTGGGCTTTTGCTCCCCTGCCCTTCCAGGGCTCTGCCTGTGTGAACATCTCTACAGAGCTGCGTTATAAATCAGGAAAAGCCAATACTTCGAAACCTTCATCTTGCATAATCTTACATTCTAAGCACTTTAAGGAATTAAGACAGACGGTGGGTGCTGAGTCTCCAATAGAGAAGTAGCGCCGAACCTGCGGAGAACACGGCACAGCCCCGAGGCGAGGGAAAGTCCCGGGAAGGGGCTCTGCGGCAGCCAATAGCGAAGTTCGTTAACGCGGCAGACTCCAGGCCGGTCCCGGTCCCGGTCCCGGTCCCGGTCCCCATCCCGGTACCGGGTCCTGCGGGGGCTCCGCCCGCGGCCACCCCGGGTCTCCTCCCAGAGCCCGCGGGTCACGTGATCCACCGCGCGGCCCGTACCACCCTGCGGGGGGAGCACGGCCTGCTCCCGGTGTACTGCCTGGGGGTCGCTGAATGCCGCTCGGTCCCTTCTCGTGTCCCCGGTGATCGGACAGTACTGTTCCCACTCTGCGCTGTGACAGCTGGGCAGGTGTCGCGCAGGAGGGGAGGAGTCGCGTTCCATACCTTCTCATGCCCCCCCTTCCTTGAGGTAATGACTCCGCCCGGCCCCTGTGGACAGGGCGGTGCTGGGCCGAGCCACTGCGGCAGCCGGGGGGAGTGGCGGCTCCCCGGGAGACCGGCGGGAGGGCCAGCACAGTCCCGCGGTACGAACGGACTTCTTATTCCTCTGTCCTACCTTGTTCTCCATCTTCTCGCTTCTCCGCGGTGCCGGCGGGAGCGCGGGCGGGGAGCTG